AGAGGGGAAGGCACCGCCGGGTCGACCCAGGCACAAAAGCGCCCACGTCCTCAGACCACCCGGTAAAGAGTGGATGAGTAAAGAGAAGGGCCCCCGCGTTCCGCATACGCTTTGAGCGAAGAGAACCCTCACCCCGCAGGAGAGAGGCTTTACTCCCCCTAGAGACAGGGAGGAGACACGGGCCAATTGGGCACCGAACGCTACCTGTCCCACGATAGACGGCCACGTCTGAGCCGAACACAAACCCCGCCACGGTTACAACCCTACTACCGTGACAACCACAGGGCTTACGATTCATCAGACGAATCGGACGACCCTCGCCAGCCTTCGGGTCAGGGCCTGCGAACCAGGCAGATAGAACCTCAGGCCAAAGATCTGAAGCGTTTTGACCCAGATAGCCCAGATTCAAGTATTAACGAATACTTTAGAGAAGTTGACCATTTTCTCCTTGACCTGCCTCATGCAGCCTCACATGAAAAACTGAAACGGATCTGGAAGACTACGGCTAGGAGTGTCCGTGATTTCATGGGGACACTCCCACAAAGGTCCGATCCTTGCAGAAAGGAAACAAATCTGTTAATCAGCACTTACAAACTGCCAAGCAGAAAGTGTTGGACATGCTTGAATTAATTCAGGGAGCACAGGTAAGCATGGAGCAAGACATCGTCAGGATATGACTCTGATCCTGGACCAAGCCCCTTAAGAGATCAAACAACCCTGCTGAAAAAGCTCAGTAAAGAACCGAGCAGCCAGGATAACCCAAGGACTGAGGAAATAAGTCTAGTTTTCCCTGATTTTGACTGTGGAGCCCCGCTCCTTGGGGAAACGCCCCAGTTCTCTGACAACTGTGACACCCTTTCACACCTTCACAGGTTTGAATCACCACATAGGAAGGGGGGTGACTTCTCAGCCCCCAGAGGCAGAGATAACACCAGGCCCCCTCCTGCTACCTGTAGGTTCCCATTGCAGGATTCACGGCTAAGGAATATCCAAACCTCAGATGACTGGGATGGCTCCCTTCTACCCAGAGATCAAAGAATGCGCATAAGGCTCATTGAATCTATGGCACAGGATGTAGAGCGGTTTGATCCAGATAACTCAGACCTCTGCATCGATGATTACCTCAGAGAGATTAACCTGTGTCTCAGTGAGGTACCTGATGCATCCACAAGAGAAAAACTCAGGCTGATCTGGAAGACAACTTCCAAGAGTGTCCGTAACTTCACGACTACCCTTCAGCCTGAGATCAGATACCAGTACTCTGCGCTCTGCAATGCTTTGCGCCAGGAATACTCCACCTACATTGACCCTGCATCTGCCCTTCTTAGTGCTTTCAGTGTCTTGCATCAGAAGCACGAGGCCCCCAAAGATTATTACTGGCGACTTAGATCTGCATATTTCCAGGGACGTAAGGCTCCAGGTTTGGAAGAGAACCCAACTTTCAAGTCCATCTTCATGCACAATCTGCATGGCTGCGTGCGTTCAGATGTCACCCTGCATAGTCGTACACATCAGCTTAGTATGAAAGAGATCAAGAGATTCGCACAGGCGGTTTGGCAGACACGCTTACGTCACGTGTCACGTGAGGGCAACAAGTGCCTTGTGCTAAGAATAAGAGACCATATCACCGGCAGAATAGAGAACAGAGCCAGGGGGGTGGGACTCAACCACAGAGTAGGTTCCAGCCTGGAGAACTGATCGCTACCAGATCCGAACGGAACTCTCGGGATGGCCGTAGTCTGAGACAGAAGGGTAGGTATAATCGGAGTTCCTACGAGCTCCCTAAGGACTCCCTCGCTTACAGAGAACCCGATTCTGACTCCACATAGGAGTGGGGGTGTAGCCTCCATTCTAGAAACACAACAATGTCACTCTACCGACATGAATGTTTCCTAGTCCCTGTTTTGTGTTTTGACATTGGTAGGGAGACACATAATGTACATGTACATTTACACACCTACATGCCACAAACACCTTCCCACAGGCTTACTCCTGCCCAGGCTAGGAGTTAGCCCACAAATCTACACCTTATACTCTTCTCTTTCTCCCCTCCTCTTGTCTGTTTGTTTCATTTGTTTTGTTAAAGAATGCACCTTGAGTAGCAAAGCTTTGCTAATGCCTGGTTATGTTTTATGCCTAGCTTTAGACATAGTTAGACAGTCTGCCCAGACTTTGCCTCAGTGTCTGCCCAGACCGAATGCCTCTCAAAATGTATGGACTTTTGCTCACTAACTATTTGAAAATTTGTCTCCTACACATGGACTGTTGGCCCTATTTGCCCTAAAGACCGCGACCCGCAATCCCATTCTTCAGGACAAAGGGGGATGTTGGGCCACGCAGGCTTAGAACAGTCAACAATGGACTTGGGCCTGCACCTCTGTAAAAGCCTCATTTGAGTTATTCACTGAGATCACAAAGAGGCCTAAAAGGACTCTTAATCCCAGAATCCCCTGCGGTACTTCACACCTACGTGTGAAGTAAAGGGGGACCGGAACCTCTCTCTCCTCATTGGAGGGGACCTGAGGTAGACCCCCATGGAGCAGGCCAGGCTACAAAACTCCAAGACTTCCATTGCTCGCCTCTTTCACGCGCTGACCTTCGGTGCTCGGAGACCCAAGAAGATCTCCTGTTTCCTGCAACAATCTTCCTTTGTTTTAAGTTTTGGCGCGCAGGTAATCCGCGGCCGGCAGTGTTCTAAATTCCGAGCTCGGATTGTCCAGTGAACGCATCTCAGTTTCTCGGAGAGCGTCAGACTATAACAGATTATCAGAAAGATAACGGTCTTATTCCGTCCTGCAACGAAAGGACATCAAAGGACATCTTTCCACTCGACGGAGAACCAACGAAGCCGCTCTCGCCGTAAGGGACCCTCGCCGCCATCAGACGCCTCTGCACCAGGACGGACAGAAGATCTGCTCCATCGCCGGACTCTTTTCCTTTCACCAATCGCGGACAAAGCGATTCACAAGTGAGGCTTAATTAGGTCTGGGCAGAATTAGCTTTAGAGAGTGTTTTTAACAATTGTTGATCAAAGCAGAAACTGTAATTTTTATCTTTGTTGGACCTGCGTCCTGAGTTTTAACTGTTTAAAACTCTTGTTGTTTCGGACCGCTGCGTCCTATATGTGTTTAGCGTAACAGCGTTATAACCGGGTATTACTCTTCTGATCAGAAAGGCCAGTGTAAGCTGTATTAACCTGAATTCGGCTATTGGTTTGTTTCTGTGAATGAAGGGAATTACTCCGAGTTGTGGCGCGGGAGTCGGACTGTGATCCGGCCTCTTCAGGCACGCATTTCTCTTTTATTCTCTTTTATTTCCCCTTCTACGCACACACATACACACATATTCCTGTGTAAACGTACATCTGGAGACCAACTCCACCACCGCGCCATTACGCACAGAGATCTATACACTCGCGGCTATCCAGACGCCTCAGAGACACAGATGTGTAGGGCCGAACTCAGTCTCTTTTAGACCTTAAGGCCACATTTAGGCCTTTGTTAGGTGTGTGCCATCGGAAGGGCGACCACGTGGGACGAAGTAATCTTCCCCCCCTTCTCTCTCCCTTTCATCCACACGCACGCACCCAGGTCTTTGTTAGGTTTGCGCCATCGTGAACGACCACGAGGGTACGAAGCCATCTCCCCCCCTTTCTTCTTCCCTCTCTCTCTCTCTCTCTCTCTCTCTCACACACACACACACACACACACCTACATTCACACCCCTTCCACAAGCCTTTGCTTGATAATGTTTGTTGCTTAGATTAGTTTATAATAGTTATTTGTTTAATTAAGTTCATTGATTTTGGATTGATGTTGCTTTGTTTAAATAAATTCTGTTATAATTTAAGAGAGCAGTTGTTGGTGGTTACTGGTGTATTTACATTGTGATATAAGCTGGGTGCGAAGGCTTTGTGTACGGATTTCACGCCTTCAATTTATTAAATATAGTTATTCATTATTAATAATATTAGTAATTAAATAACTAATTTGAGACTGATTTGAGTGATATTTTGGTTATATTTACCTGATTACAGGTTGGTGCCCCAAAACGAGATTAAACATAGTTTAATGATATTTTATTTATATTATTAATAATTAAGTATAATTATTAAAGAATATAACCAAAGTTGACTTGATACAACCCCAACATATACTAAGTACTGATGTTGTAGTGAGGACCACACTAACCGAGACCAAGACATATGTGAGACCAGAGTGATATGAGACTGAGACAAGACCGAGACATTTAGGGATCGAGACCAAGTCAAGACCAAGACCATAAATATCACTTTTAAAATCATCATGTGTGCAGCGGGCGTGTCACTCACCACTCATCAGTAACACCAGGAAGGTTGCGGTGGTAACCAAGAGATAAAAATCAAACTACAAATGAATTGAAGTCATTTGTTCTTTTAGAAAGGAGCATCGGAGGTGGTCTTGACTGGTCTTAATCTAAAATCAGGAGTCCGCCCAGTCTGAGACAGAGACAAGACAGAGTAAAAATACTTTCAAGACGAGACCTTCAAACAGTGGTCTCGAGACCGGCCTTGATTTCGATTACTACAACACTAGTGTGTACATTTGAAAAAAAGAAAGAAAAATATCCTAAAATAACCAGTAAATACTCTGTTCATTGCATTGGAAAAGAAACTTAATTTTGAAGTAAGCATATTAAATTAAGGATTAACAATTGTACTGGAGGTTAAAATATGAATGTTGGTATCATAGAGGCTGATAAAAGCTATGTATTCCTCCCTTTGGTTGAATTATAAGTCCACCGAAGAGTATCCTACAATTTGGCCCTCTGACAGTGAGAATTAAATATATGTGGCCCTTGCTGTGACCAAAGTTGCCCTTTCCTGGTCTAGATCAACACCAATGGGTTACACCATCCAATTTGCATCCCAATATCTGACTTCTTTGCCACACCTGTTTAAGCCACAACCACAACTTTATAAAAGCCTGCGCTCAGGTCTGTTACTTCCTCTTCCATCCAAACCAAGCCTGACCTGCAATAGAGAACAACAAAAACCTCCATGTGAGTGTAAAATGGATCTTTCACCTTACTTCATTCTTATTTTGTTGATATATTATGAATTATTTCCAATAAAACACATGTATTAATGATAGTTTAAAAAACAATTTTAGAAACTTACTTAATTATTCTGATTGGTTTGACATTATTTATCAAGATCTGTAATATTTCCTATTTGTCATCAGCTAAAATCATTCACAACATCTACAAAGAGGATCAACTTTTGAAACAGCATCAGATCCTGTGTACGAACATGTGAACTCCAGTTTGCGTTCCTTTGTCCTTACGTTAGGTTAATTTGCTTTATGTTGATTTGTGTTTTTTTTACGACTGATTTGTGAATTTGTGAATATGTCAAAATAAGTAGCCTAAAAAAGTACCAGATATTACAGTTTTAGTACATCATTGACTTTTAAAAAAATCAATAGTTATACTAACATGAGATTACAATTTGTCATTTAAGTTTGATCTGTGTTGCTGCACGGAGAATCAGTTTGACTTTGACATCCTTCTTTCAGTTTAAAACAAAACTTAAACCTCAGCAGAAATTAGATGATAAAAATGGATATTTATAAGCCCTATAAAGATACCTGACCTGGGAATAAAGTCATATCTTTGTGATGAAATTAAGAAAACTAACTCTTTATGGAAGTAAGATAACAAAGTGAGATATGTTAACATAGATATTATCTTTAAACAACTTTCTATGTCTGCAATCAGAAGTAATCTCAGAAGAAAAAGTAGGAGATGTCACATTGATAAAAACACATCTGTAATGTACTCATTCTGGATGTTACTGGAGGTCATATATTATAGTCTCATCTTTTATTTTTGGATAGAATGATGACAGACAGATGTTCACCTCCTTTACATGCTTCTGGATACATCATGAGGCTGAACATCTTTGTCATCATAGAATGAGAAAATCTTTTACAGTCTGAGGGTTTCTTACGTTTCCTTTCTGAAAGTTATGACAAAAGCAACACAAAAAAGATTAGTACCTGTTTAAAATTTCTCCTTCAGAGCATTCTTCAAATGGTCAGGGCACACTTTACCATAGAGAGTTCAGCAACATTCCCATCTTGTGGCCATTTGATGTAATTGCAGTCCTCAAATAGAGTACACTATAAATCTCTGTCTAAAGAGCAGGTTAAACATGCAACATTCCTCTAAATGTTTCTTCAGAAGTAACTTCTAATACTGATTTATTTCTAACATCCTGTCATTTCTTCACTTCTTTATACGTTTAGATTTGTTAATTTGACTTAAGAAATTCTGATGCACTTTCAGTTTTGTTTTCTGAAATGTTTGGTATATCAATAAAAGAAGAGGATCATTATGAGGGTAAAGACCAATGACATGGGTGTGGTGGAGATATAAATGTCAGATGTTTTAAAACCCTGAGCGTCATAAAAAAAAAGCCTTAAGCAGCTATGGCTATATAAATGACATTTGACACTTGTCAGATCAGCATCAGAAACATTAGCTTGATGTAAATGCAACGTCTTACGGCTTCAAAACATTAAAAACTATATAGATAGATTTGATCTTTAAGTCACAGGTAGCTGAGGAAATGAGTTGGTACAAAAAGAAGGACGATTGGAGGAAAATTTAGAGGTCGGTTTTCTAGTTACAGTCGACTAAATTCATGGTTTGTTTTCTGGTTTGGTAAGTTGTATCCATGGTTATTTTAAACTCATGGTTTAACTTGACAATGTTGCATTTTAGCTTGTGTAAAACTGAGGTTACTTAATAAATGACTGAAGACTAACTTCTTGCTCTTTTATCTAGAACAAGTCGGGGCAAAATGGGAAATAAGTGAGTACCTCTGTCTTTGTTAAACCAGTTTAAAATATCTCAACTTTATAAAGAAATCATTTTAAGTTGGAAGTTTCAGCACTTCTTCATACTGTTAATGCTTTTTTTTTCTAAATTTTACAGACTGATCACCAAGGTAAAATACTTCACGTCTTACCACACATCACACCACATTTTTGCGGCTGGAGAGATAAGAGAGAATAAACAGAACAAACAATGACGACTTGTAGAATAAACCGCACACAAACACACCTCCACAAAGTTAAGCCTGTGTACATGTATTATCCATTATCAGTCTAAATTAAAAATCGAATTAACTGGGAGGACTTTGTTCTCTAGATGCTTATTATCCACACCAGTGGTGAGGACAGCTAGCTTTGTGCACCTTTACTATCCAAACCAACCCTCTTTGTTCTCCTTTCCTTTAATCCTAAAAAAAAGGAAGAGGAACACAGACTGTAGGCTATTGAAATAGGACATTTTCAGTGTCCAATGTTTTGTTCTCTTTGTTCTACTAGATGCTGATATCCCCACCAGTGGTGAGGACAGCTAGCTTTGTTCACCTTTTCTATCCAAATCAACCCTCTTTGTTCTCCTTTCCTTCAATACTTAAAAAAAGGAATAGGAAGACACGCTTTGTATTGAAAGGACATTTTCAGTGTCCAATGTTTTGTTCTCTTTGTTCTACTAGATGTTTAATATCCCAACCAGTGGTAAAGTCAAAAAAACGTTCTTTGTAGCATCAGCTTTATTCTTGGGCTCATTTCATGCTTATCCTATACCTCCCAGAGCCCTCAGGCAATCTTGAGCTGGTCTTCATGGTGTTGTTTTGTTTTTGGCATTTCATTTTTCTTAGCTTTTGTTTGTTTGTTTTCTGCCAGGTGTTTAATGATCCCATCCATGGTAGCATAGAGTTACACCCACTCCTCATCAAGATCATTGACACACCTCAGTTCCAGAGACTTCGATTCATAAAGCAGCTTGGAGGTGTCTACTTTGTTTACCCTGGAGCGTCTCACAACCGCTTTGAACACTCAATCGGGTAAGTCAGCAAGTTTTCAGATTTCAGCCCACAGGTGACCTCAGTCCAAATAAGGAGAAGACTCATGGTTTTCACATAAGCACCTTGTAAAACCAATAAAGGCAGAAAACAGTGCCTGTCTTAGTATGGATCTTATAAAAGTATATATTTTCATTTTGGTAGCAGCATCCTATTGTGATAACTGCGTTATGACTTTAAAAAAAAAAGTTTTCTGTGGTCTAAAAAGGGTGGGATACTTAGCAGGAAAACTTGCTGAGGCTCTCAGATCAAGGCAGCCGGATCTCAGCATCACTGACAGAGACGTCCTTTGTGTTCAGATTGCTGGCCTCTGTCATGACCTGGGTGAGTAATACATCCCTTTTCAATATTACATATAATAGTTTATAAATTATGTTATTGGGTATGAAAAGAGTAAAATGAAAGTGAAATGATCCAGAAATAACCCTTCCATCTTTCAAAAAAGCAAGGGCTTCTGCATTAATAAATAAAAAATAGGAGGGTGGGGTGAGGTGGTGGTAGCTCGGTCTGTAAGGACTCTGATAAGAACTGGAGGGTCTGAATCTTTAAAAATAATATTTAGACTCAGAATTTTTTTTTAACCCAGAGGGCGTTTCGGTACCACAGTCCACCCAGACCATGCATACATTTACAAACACATAACAGTCTTTCTTGTAAGCAATATTCTCAAGTTTAGATTCAGGAGTAATCCGTTCAAACTCAACAAGACATACTGACTGTATAATCTGTACACTATCAATGGATTACGCCTGTATTTATCTATCCATTTCAAGGTCATGGACCCTTTTCCCATCTGTATGATGGACTGTTCCTCCCCAAAGCACTGGAAAAAAAGAGGAAATTAAAGAAATGGAAGGTAAGAAGTTTTTATTTCTGTTATTTCTTTACTCATAGTTTTTCTTTCTTTTTCTTTTTATATCTATTTATATCTGCACCTTATTTTTATTTTTTATATGTAAATACATGCTGCTGTTTTTTATCCTGCACTACAACGAGCCAAATGCAACGAAATTTTGTTCTTATCTGCACTGTAAAGTACAAGTTTGAATGACAATAAAGAAAGTCTAAGTCTAAGTAATATAACAAATGAAATACAGAGGAACGGCAAAACTGAAGCACATGTACCTTTCACACTGGCTTGTTCTTTTGAAACAAAATCCAGGATGTTGATTTTTGTTTGCTTTTTCAGGTGTAATGTGATTATGCACATTTCCAAGAATGTTGATCTATTTCTTTAATAACAATGAACTTTGTAGCTTGTGTTGCTAAATGACCCATACCCTGTTCTCTTTGGTAATAATATGTCAACTTTTTATCTGACATGTTACCGCTGTTCAGAAGCTCCATGAGATTTTAATAATGTTTCTGTTTTAACCATTAATCCTGGTGATTCAGGGATTTAGATACAACAAACAAAGATAATAATTGAATTCATGGTTCATGAGAGGTACTTATTTATGACAGGGACCTCTTTTAAAAGCAGAAGGGATTTCTAGATCTATTTATGTCTCTTTGTCACTCAATAAGAGAAGATAACCTTTATTCATCCTACAACGGGCAGCAAAGAGCAAGGATAGCCAAAAAAGAGCACACAGTGCACCATTCAATAACTTTAGATCAAAAGAGTGCGATTGTTGTGTTTACACCCAAACAAACTGGGCTAAAGGGGAAACGCCCCTTTGTTTCAGAACAACTTTTCCAAACAACCCAGGTGTGAAAAAACGCTTGGTGAGAAAACTGAGCTGCATTATCACCTTCCCAAAAACTCTTATGCTTAACAGTTTGACTCTGGGTTGAGTTCAGCTAGCAAAATAACCCTGATAAAGACTGTTAGGATGTTGTATACAGTATATGTCCACAGAAGATTGGCTGACATTAAGTCACTCATCGAATTCTGAGGAACTCTGACATTTAAAGTGTTTACACACGTTTTGAGATCTACTCTGCAATTGTTGGTTGTGCTATTTGTGTAGTTCCTTGTCTTCTTGCAATATTTTTCATGATTTGATGAAAGCGAAGCATGGATTGAAACCTGAACATGTGAAAAACATTAAGGTGATGATTGCTGAAGACCAGAAGGCAAGTTCTCATCTGTGCATAAATCAGTCTGTGTCCTACAGCAATGCCACTAATGTCACTATTTTGTAACATTCAGTATAAAGGCGGACAAGAAGAGTCCTTTTTGTTTTAAACGGTAAAAAAAGTTTTTCTTCTGCCGAGAACTCAGATCTTAAAATTGAACAGTTGTTTTGTTTGTCATGCTTTTTCATGTACATAGTTTATTGTGTTCATATTTTAGCTTTATCTCTGTTTTGTGGAATGGTCCTACATATTTTTTCTATGCAGTGTAAATTCATTGAACAACATACGTGTCAATAAAACTGGTCCTGATTCGCTTTGTGTCGTCATCCCTGCAGTTGCAGTTCAAAGGGCGCTCAAAAGAATGGTCCTTCCTCTATGAAATTGTGTCCAACAAAAAAAACGGCGTTGGTGTGGACAAGTTTGACTACTTGGCCAGGTCAGGTTTTAATGAAGTGCTGTAGAGCAATTCATTTTGTGATGAAGACCGCGACAGCACTTCTTTTTTTTTTTACCGTGAACAATGCATTATTCTCCTGATTATTTTAAATTATAGGCTACAAAACTCTCCAGTAAATTCAGTTTCCCTCTATACACCTATTTTCTTCACCTTGCCTCAATCTGCCTCTACTCAGGGACTCTTCCTACCTGGGGATCAAGAACAACTTTGACTTTCGTCGCTTCCTGCAGTTTGCCAGGGTGTGTGAGGTTGAAGACAAAGACTGCAAAGAAGGAAAAAGGAAAACTATCTGCACCAGAGACAAGGTGCTGACACACTTGAGCTTGTAAACAGATAATTGAAAGCAAACTGATAATGTTGTTATTTATGACTAAACTACAGTCCTAACCTCAACAGAAGGAAGACCATATGTACCACTTGTTCTATACAAGACACTGTCTCCACAAAAGAGCCTGTCAGCATAGAGTAAGCCAAATCATACAAGAAATGTAAGTGTCTACCTTCAGAAGTTAGTACTCCAAATATAAGATTGGTCTCCTTCTGTTTTCGATTATTCAATCTGCATCATGATTCACTATCTCATCAGTAATAATATATTTGATATGAACATACAGGATTGCAGAGGCTTTTTTGAAAGCAGACGATCACATTCAGATTGAAGGATCAGGAGGGAGGATGTTCACTCTCTCTACAGCCTTTAAGAACATGGAGGCCTACACAAAGCTCACAGGTGTGTAGATTTAAATGTGTGCTGTTAGCTCATGTTTAACATTGAAGCCAATTCAGACTACAGGAGTATCAAGACATTGTTTAAATAATGCACTACACCCAACAATCTGAAAAGGAAATTGTGTGTAGGCACTTGGTCGGTTTTGATGTTTGGCCAAGGACAAGGTTATCTGGTAGTTTGAGGAGTTCACAAATCCAGTCTCAAACATCCTGAACAACTGGCTGTCCTGATCATTTGAACTTGTTTGATATTTAGGATGTTTATTTATGAAGTAACAGAAATATGACATATTTCAACACTTTTTGGAAACACACTTTGTTAGATGCTGCTTTCTGTCAGATGGCTCTGTTGCTAGGTCATTTACAGTTATGCTACTTTATCCATTTTTTTTATTGTGCATTTGTTAAAGATAAATAAACCACATCCTGTTAATTTACTTGTTATGACTTATAAATTAACATGCCATGTCTTACAATTTATTGCGTGTGTTTAAATTAAATTCACTAATTTTGTGTGTGTTATTATCATTTGTTTGCTTGTTACTCTGTTACTCTTTTAGACAACGTGTTTGAGGAAATACTGAAGTCTTCCTGCTCAGAGCTAGAAAAGGCAAGAGAGATTCTGCAAAACATCATCTCTCGAAAGAGCTACAAGTTTGTTGGTGAGACAAAGCCAAAGGACCCCATCCAGGATTGGGAAGTAAGTCTGTGTTCTTGTGTTTCATTACATTTATAACACATGATCTAATGCACTGTTATCACAAAGCTGGATAATGTGCTCATTTTCAGTTAATAGAATAAGTACACACACATTATTTACTGTCTCCAGCATTTTATCTTGCCCGTGTTGTTATTACATTTAACATGAACAGCAACACTATTGAACAGTTCTCTTTTTGAAATGCAATGTGAATTGGATAGCAGCTTGAAATGTCTTACAATACAAAATCCCTCTGTCAACTAATGCTGCATGATATTGGGAAACTGCGATAACCTTTGAGGTTCATACAATTACAATTTGTATTATCATTTGGGCCTTCAATTCTATTTTCTTTTTCAAATAAAAACCCCTTATATGTTCAAAGTGACTTTTAATTTGCATCAAGAGCCCTGTGACAGTAAAGAACAGTTCATCGTCACACACTGCATGTGATCCCTTCAACTCTACATCTTATGTGCACATAGACTCTGCCTGCACAGAAGTCACTTCTCTTTGTGATCAGGAAGAGGATCAGACAGACTGATATTGTAGATCAGTCATGGAAAGAGAGAAACTGAAGGCTTTTTGTTTTTCAAAAGCAAAAACAACAAAAAATGGCATGAAATGACGCATTTCAGGACATATGATTGATATTATATATTCTGTAATGTTATCATAGCACTTGTACACATAGCAAAAATGATGCTTAAATCATACCATGCAGCCCTACAGTCAAAAATATCTACACTAAGTTGGTGCAGTTTTTTGAGTGAATGTGAAATGAATTCCAAGTTGCTTACATTGTCAACTTAAAATGCAAAAAACCTTTTCTATCCTTTCGCACTCTTCTCAACGTTTCTGCTCCATTTTCAAGAGCCTGATTCCTAGCTGGAAAAAGGACTGGCTGAGGGAGAAAGAAACCTGACACCAAAGGACTTTGAAATCCTGGTGAGTTTTTTGACTTTCTTTCATTTCACCTTTTTGTAAAATCTTGGGTTTTGCAGATTTTTTGATTTGTAAGATGTTGCAAAATTTGTTACTGCAGACATACTTTTACTCTCAACCTTCATTTTAGGTCATTGAAATGACTATGGCATGGACGACAAGGACCCTATCCAACATGTTCATTTCTACAGCAAATCTGAGCTTGACAAGGCAAAGCTATGCCCGAAAAAAGTAAGAACTAAATATTGATTAAAAC